AGGAGGGGGGGGGGGGGAGGGGGGATGTACAGACGAAGAATGTCGTATGGAATGTTGCGTTTTTAACCGGCCCACACGAATACTGCATCGACGGAGCAAACAATAAACGAATGCTACCAAAATGAATAAATATATGTATATATAACAACGGTAATAGCGTTAAACGTTATGCGCGCTAGCAGCAGTATTAGTTTCTTCCTCATTAACGTGACGTTAATGAGAAAATAACACAGTGGTAATACGGGCAGATAAATACGCTATCGATCTCTCTCCTCTCTCGCGCTGTCGTACATATTATACCTTGCTGTTGATCGATGCGTTCGCGAGAAGAGGCGTGAGTTGCTCGGAGAGCTGTCCCACTGTCACTTGCAGCATTGCTTGTTTCTCTTCCAGCGCGGCGACCTTGTTCAAGCAATTCGATTAATATTGCGCGTCTCCTCGCGAATGACGCGCTGAAACAGTAGTCTAGAGATTGCTTTCATATTTACCCTCTCCAATAATTTGCTGTAGAGCGCGTATGGAACGTAGGCCGACTGTCCCGATGCACCAGGGCTGTGGTCAGCGTGGGGACTCGCGTCGGCTCTCGGACTTTTATCCTTCTGCTTGCTATCGTCGTTGTCGGCGTCCGCTTTGTTGACTGAATCCGTGACGTTTCCTTGCGTCATTATCCTGTGGATGCGACAAAGCGATGTGTATTGCATGTACGTTCGCGTATTCGCGGAATAAAGAAGATATTTCGCTTCGGAAAACTGACCGCGGGAAATTACGTTCCTTCTTCACTTCTACTTTATCGACGACCCGATCTACCGCGGCGATCTTTCGCCTCTCCATCTGATTCATTTTCAATTCCTCGACCTACAAGCCAGTGGACAATGATGTTAGTGATAAGATCGATAGCGAGCTTTCTTCTACATCTTAAATTGTGATACATTACCCAGGGTGCTTTCCTCCTCGTTTTCGCCGCAAGTCCGTCCGTTTCTTCATCCGGCACTTGTTCCAGCACGGTGTCAGGCCTTCCATTAGACATATTTTCGTCCTGATAAATTTATTAATGAATGTTATAAGTAAAAATAAGCGGTCAATTTTATTGCAACAGATGTAAAGAAATGTTAATATCCTTTTTACGATACCGAAAGAGTGTTCGGAACGGACGGGAGACCGGCCATTCCCGTCGGGGATGTGCTGATGCCGGTCGATCCGGCGGCGTGATGACGCAGATGCTGCGACGAAGGCGGACGTCGCCGAGGCGCTTTAGCGCGAGAAGCCGTCAAATGCGAAAGCGGCGTGCCTTCCCCGCGTTCCACGCCATCCAATTCCTCCAAAGATGCACTCGTCGTGTTGCCGATACCGTTATTATTATTTCCCACGTCGATCACGAGACGTTTCAGGCTCGATATAATCGAGGTGGCCGACTTCTTATCACCGTCCCCACTTCCGGTGGCCATCACCGGCATCATAGGGCTCTTTTTAGTGGTGCTTATGACGGGGAAATGATCTGACGGGACACGAAATTGCATTGCGCGTTACGCTAGACGTAAAAATGATGGTCCGTGGAGATAACGCTTGGTATGAAATAATCGTATTTTTACCTGATATATTACTCGTGTGAGCGTTTCTGGCATCCAGACTTTTCCTAACGTGCGCCTTTTCGATTTTCTTCACTTGATGGGAATGTTTAGTACTTGACTTTGCGCTAAGCGACGTAACCTCGTGCCCCCGCTGGGATTCTTGCTCCTGTGACTCACTCTTCGTACCGATCAGCTCGACAAAATTGTCAGGGAACAGACCCACTTGTCCTTTCAGCTCTCCTTTCCACCATCCCTGCGCAAATTGTTATATTGTTATTAAATATACGGTTTTCATTCATTCTGATTAACTTACAAACCTTGTCCGGTGCGTCCTTGGATATAAGCGTGATCATATCTCCCTCGGCCAGGGTAAGCTCATCCTCGTTAGCAGCCTCATAAGGGAACAGTACTCTGCACATCTCCTTCTTATCCCGCTCCTTGTGCCTCTCTTGCTCTTCCGGGGCAGGCTGGGAGACAAAGTTCGAGGGGAACACGCCGACTCTACCTCTGAGTCGACCTCTCCACCATCCTTCCTCCACTTCTCCCAGGAATTCTATCGATTCCTGCGGCACTAAAGCTAGCTCGTCCTCGTTACAGGGATCGTAGCTGAAGAGGACCTTGCAGTAGCGTCTGCCAGATCCATTTCTCAAAGTAACTTCCTCAGACTTTGTGCTGCTTAGAGTCTCGCTGTTGCTACCGCTGACGCTGCTTCTGTTGTCGGCTGTCGAATCTAGCATCTGTGCATACCAAACAAAGCATGCGTTAAAGTAAATTAATGTGCATAGACAAGACAGGTGCGATATACCTTGACAAAGTTATCGGGGAACATGCCGCGCTTGTCCCTCAGGGTGCCCTCCCACCATCCTCCGAGCATCATCCTAATGTCGGTGATGATGTCGCCCTTCCGCAGCGTCAGCTCGTCTTCCTCTTGCGCCGTATAATTATACTCCACTATCGCATAATTATACTTCACTTCCATGACCGGATTCAGTTCCGACATCGTCACGAATTGTATCTGTGGAGATGCAGCACGCTTGCTTTACCATGCGACAAGGCGGCGAGTTCGATCGATTCGAACTCGGGCGATTATCTCGACGGTGCCGCGACACGGTGGTCGCGAGAGGCGGAATTCGCCAGGAAAGGAACGGCGAGAGTTCGCGGGAGAAAACAGGTAGCGCTTGAGTGAATGTAACACACTATTATATACGTCCGAATTACAACGTGACGTGCGTTCGCGGCAAACAATCGTGCGTTTTTGGACCGTTCTGCTCCGTTTTTCTGCGTGCGATTCGGAGCGGATTCACGTATGCATACATCGCGGTGCAACGCAATACAACGCGACGCTGTGCGCAACGCGAAACGATTCCACCGCGTGGCTTCGAATTTTTAGGCGGATCCCGGGTGCGATTGACAGCTCCCCGTATCTGTCACTGCGGCCATCTTGCGCTTGGGAAACCTCGACGGGTTCTCGACTGCCTCTGGCGCTCTGGGCAAAGCGCATGCCAACCATGGTCGATGGTTCTACCTGCGGTTAGCTCTCTTGCGCCATGTTCAGTCCAACAATAGAAAAAAATGCAGTATGTCGCGGAACTAGCGTGCGGTTCCGTTTGCTATGGATTTTTGTGGACGAAAAAGTTTTGCTCTTTTATCTTGCTATCGAGCAGTGATGCAACCTTAAATTAAAATTGGAGCCAAATCCACTTGAAATTTTTTTCAAGAGCTCTTTATTTTTAATCTCTTATCTGTAGGCTCTGACGCTTGATTGTGAAAGAATATGGCAAGATTCTCACATTCGAACGTCTTTCAGCAAAATGCGTATGATTCACTCTCGCGCGACACAATGTGACCAGCGTGAATGAATTCGTGTCATAATGTCATAAGATGAATCATCGTGCAACGCACGTGTTCTAAACTTCGTCGTTCAATGATGCATATGTATTGCATCTATCTTGTATATTTCATATTGTTCTTTTTTTTAACAACTAAAGTCTGAAAATTTTATAATCTAAAAGGTGTTCGAAATATTATCTTTTAGACGTCTTTTGAATGTTGATTGAGATTATCTGTTATTATCTAATATTATCAGATTAATTGTATTGTTTCTTCTGCATAAAATGTGCAAAAAATGTACGTTTATTTTAGCAGATTCGTCAGTTAATATTAATTTTTCTTTGTTTTTATCCATTGATTCCAATTCTTTATTTAATTTTTACTGTTAACATGACTACGATTTTTAATGTCAAATCGACACGTCACTAATGGCACATATCACGCAATTTACGAACGTGACAACCCGCTAACTCGTATCCATGAATTCCGGCTGACGATGCGCACTCGGACTCGGCGCGCTCGTTCTAGATTCTGAAGAAGAAATTGCCGGCGAACACAATGTGTGACATACCTGTCAACGGAGACAGCGCTCTGACTTCCTGGTGCGTATCGGCGAGCGATTCAGTGCGAGCGCTCAGCTGGAAAACGGTGCGTACTGTCCTCCATTTTCGATGATTCACTCCGGTAATCGCTCGCGTCTTATCGCCGAAGACTATCACGTATTGGCGAAGTACAATGAATACTGAAGTCCTTCGACACTTCGCTCGTCGGCGACGTTTGCGTGTGCCGTGCAGTTGAACAGTTTCAGTGACACATTTGTGACACGTACTTGGAAAACCATTGCATAAGATCTAAACTTTTCTCTTTATCTTCCACGAATTAATTTTACTCTTTAATTGACTATCTCGTTCTTTTTTTAGCGATAAAATCAGCTATCAGCTAAGAAAGTTGGGTTTTTTTGGATATTATATGTCCTAAATTACTGCCGTAATTCTTACATAAAAAGAAAACCCAAGATGTCGTAGGTAAAAAGTGTATATTTTTATTTATTATTGATTCAGACATCAAGTTGAACAAGTTGTTTCTATAAACTTAAAAACTTATACACTTATACATTCAGATAATCGATCGCGAAAGTCGAATAAAATTACGTAACATGATGCTCATTGTCGATGGTGAGGTGATGAATGACAAATCAAACGTTGTAAAAGCTGTTCTTATATCATTTGTTTAACATCTTCGCAATTATTTCCTCGGTGATCGGGCAAAATATTTCGTGCTCGATTTTTATTCTATAAAACCAAAAAAATAATTCTATTACCTACAATAAATTTTAGCTTTTAGTTAAATTATATCAATATAGCAAGTTTTAAAAAATATTACAGAGAGAATCGATTTATATACTGTTAGCTTGGTGCAAACTAAGTTAGTACAATTGGCAATCGAAATTGCTTGCCCGATCAAACCTTTTTACTTTATTTCTATATATCTTAACAGGATTTGTAACAAAAACGTAGCTGATTCCTGTCGAGAAACTTTCATCATATCGTTGAAAATTGCAAAATCGTTGAAGACCGAGAGCTATGAATTCGCAGAGCCGTAACTAGAAAAGAAAACCGAAGATGTGCAATTTTACAATAATTTATACTGAAATTCGAAAATTGAATTTTACAAATTTAAAGAGATGTATGAAATCGAAGATCCACACGAATAGAATGGTGAAAGGATTCCGACGCAAACGTGACATTCCGTCACGCTTATTTTTCGTGGAATCTCAAGGACAGAGATAATTAATAAAACGTTCATTTTGCACTCATGATATTAAAAAAAAAAAATACTAGTTACGGCGCTGCACGCGCGCGCACGTTCGTGGCAGGCTCAACTAAGTCATATAAAAAATGTTCCTCTGAAAGATTCTTCAGCCGAAGACCAGCTTCGGATGATAAATCAAGCACTTCGATAAAGGCAAACGATCCAGCGTCCCTTAAAAGAAATTCATACGCGACTCTACCGTCCACGTGGGCGACGCTGTGTTAGAAATTGACTTTTTTCTATTATTTTCGCCACTTTTCCTGCAAGAAACAAGCACCCGCATTTTACATGTTCATCGAAATTTAATAATCAAACACAATTTTTTACACTATTGAATCCGTGACAATTAAATTTAACTCAAGAATTCTTATTGTGTTTCTTTTTTTCGCCTTTAATGGAAAAAAATATATTTTTTGTTGAGAATAGTATCAAATATTTGATACGGGCGCTTTTTCTCGCTACAGACAGTCCGCGAAACGAAAATTAACAATAGTCCTGACAAATCACGCGCGAATCTAAAGAAGATCCTGGATCGACGAAATTAGAGCACCTCCGGTTTCTCTAATCACATCTAATCTTCGCTAACTTTAGATTTCCCAAACTCGCAGACAGCGTAAATTGGCTTTTGTTTTGTTTGAAATTTCATGATTAGATTGAAATAAAATTCTTGAATTTTTCGTAATGTCAATTTCTGCTAATTATAATTTCAATTGTTTGAAAGCAATTTAAAATTGTAATAAAATTTTAAATGATAAAATAGTTTAGTGTCGTTGTTTTTTAGATGTTTGAAAATTTTGTTACAAAATTTAACTCTTCTTTATTATTCGTTTGGGAAATCCTGCGCTAATTAAGGGGCGCACAGACTGCTTAGCAGACAAGACAATCGAATTCCGTAGTGTTTTTATACAAACACGCCGCGATTTATAAATATATAAAAGCAACAAATATATACCATCGTATCGTGTGTATATATATATAATATATATTTATATGTATATCTATAATATCGTCTTGCAAATGGTACAAAGCCTATGCCGTAATTATTACGTTTAGGATACGATTGCTGCTGAAAAACAAATCGTGTCGTGTCGATCGCTGAATCCGTTAACGTGCGCGAAATGATCTCGTCGGCATCGTCGCTGCAGTGTCGATCGATCGCGACAGATATAATGCACTTCTCGTTGAGTGCATGCGCTCTTCAGACTCAACTATGTCGCGACGCAACTTGCAACCGTGCGAGCAAGCGTGCGTAAAGCGAAAACGTGCGTTTTCGCAAAGCTCTGCGGACGCCCTCGAGTAAAGCACCGCCGGTAAAAGTTGCAAGATTGCCATTCGCAACGTGAACGCAGCTTGAAGTGGAATTATGACGGTGTTATGACGACTGTTGTGTACACAAATCAGAAATCACAGCGGTGAAAACTGTTTGCGTTTCGCTAGAAAGACGAAAGAGAGAAAGAGAGAGAGAAAGAGAGAGACTTGGTTTTCCAAGATACACTATAAACGAGAGAAAAAAGAATATCGCAAGTATCCGTCGATTCTCGCATGTTCCCAAGAGTGCAAAGCCCTTCGAGGTGTTTCTGAAGTGAGCTTTTAATTGGAACTTCAATCGAACACCGGTATATCACGCTATAGTTACCTTCCCACATTGCTCTGATTGATCGTAAAGCGATTTGTTACGATATCTCGTGCAACATATCTCTTATCCATCTCCCGTTTTTTTTTCACACTCTTCGTCTTTATCCTTTTCCTTATAATCATTGATAGGCACAATAAAGGCTTTTGTATTTCTGCCAGCGTAAACGAGAAGTACGAACGGTGAAAGTGATCTCATTGAAAGGGCGACAACAATTTCTATGTTTGCTACGAAGGATTGTGCGCTTCTCTATATATTATAATAAATACTAATAATTCTAAACAATATAAAATTCTTGTCGTATCATTCTTTTTTTTTGTAATACGGCAATGACGATAGAATTGGAGCGATTTTTAATCAGAAATTTAACAATTCATTTTGTTTACTGTTTCGTTGAAATAGCTTTTAACTTGATTTATCAGTTCCATTTGCCACAGCGCAAATGCGATAATTTTATTTTACAAGTAAAAGCGTTGTATAATTAAAAAGTATTTAAAAATCGGGAAACTCCGTAAATCAGCCGATGGTTCGTTTTTTATAAATTTATAAAAAAAACTCTATTAAGATATAAAAAATTTAAAAAATTTGTTTATATTGTTTGAAATAATCAAGCAATTTGCGCTCCTCGTTAAAATGTGAACATTTTGTAGCATATTATACGGCAGCAAATTTCATTTCACGCAGTTTAAATCAGAGCTGCACGACTCGTTGAATTCGGACAACGCTGCTGGGCAACAGCTGCTCTCGCAATGCCGTACTCGCCTCCGGGCGTAAATATCGACTATGAAAAATGCGAAGATGCTGCTAAGTGCTCCTTCCTTTTATACGAAACAAGATTGGTGCTGCGACATTTTGTAGCAGAATGTATACTGTTCGCCGAATATAACACAGATCGCCGAAAGTGTTTCATTACGATTATCAAAGCGCATTAAGTAAGCGTGGATTATCACGTGTGTTTATGTACCGATATTAAATATTTGATACATAGATGTCAACTGTTTATCAATATCGATCTGGCCTCGTTTCGAGAGACTTGCATCAGTTTTACAGCAGAATCTGAAAATAGCGTTTTTCATAAACACGCGAGTGTATCAACAATTCTTCTTGACTAAAATTTGTTCACACATCATTGAATTGATTAATTCAATTAATTTAACTAGCTATATATCTAATTATACGCGTTTAAAAGTTCTTTAATTCCGATTTTCAAAAATGAACACCATGATATTGAAACCATGATTCTTCACCGGTTTGGTTACCGGTGTCTGTTTCTACTGTGTCAAATGAATATTTTATATATTATTTATTTATTATGTAAATATATTGGCATCTGTGCATCAAACGATCTCGGCGTAACAGCTAATCGCGCAAGCCCTTCCGCGGCGGAAGAGCCCTGGTCCTCGTTGAGAGACATCGGTGGTAATCGATCAAGTCTCGTATAGTTGTGTCATTTTTCAGACGGTAATCACAATGCGCTTGATGACGTCTTTCTCGCGTAGATATACTAATAATAATACGTCGATTAAGTGCCGCCTTAGTAGCGTCGAGTGGATGTTTCCTTTTTAGTTAGGCCTTATCAATACGTCAAGCGAATCTAATTGAACGTTTTTTAAACCGCCTATGACTGCGTCTGGTCTGCAAAAGTCTAACATCGACGAGATTACGTGAAAATTGTTCGTCGACGAAATCTGAAATCTCGCAATTCCTTCCGTCGATTGTCAGCTGTACAGCTGCTCAGCTGCAATCCTTCCTCCGCTTTCCCGATCCCCGTCTTTTCTGTCTGCCACGCGCTTCTGGATTCGCGCCAAACTCGCGTGGAACACTGAATTGGGAGTCAATCGACGTTGATGAAACACACGTCCTTCGGCGACGTGCATTTCGGCATCTCGATTACCTCGTAGCAATAGTTTCGCCGACTCTCTACATTTGTAGGAGTGTGACTCGAATCTCTATAAGTAGACATCTACGACGTATAATCGCATATCATAGATAAAATTTCGAACGTAGCTCGAGCTTAACCGTAATGTGTGTACATGTGTGTATGTGTGTTTCCGAATTATCTCGAAAACAAGAGCTCGCTTCGCACGCCCGACCAATGTCCGTGACGTTTCATGTTTTTTTTTTTTTTATGATCGACAATGATCACCGGTGACGGTCGAATCCGCAATCGCGGCGAGTCGTTTCGCACCACCGTGTTGCTTCACACCGTTACGCGGCGGCGTCGTCGCTCTCATTCGGCTCTCGTGTGTAATAAGGTGCAAAGTTTACGAGATAATATCTATAATATCCATTGCGATTATTGCAGATGGTGTAATAGCATCGTGAATACTTGCCCGGACCGCTCTCGCCGGATATACGAACACTTGCCGCGTCCAGGTCGACTCCAGTTCGATGACTGACCGACGATCGCGTTGTGTATGTACAAGTATAGAAACGAGCGCCCCTTCTTGTGCACGACAAATAGACGAAATCTTCCGTGCCCGGGTTTAAAACGTAGCTGTCGAAGCTTCCAGTCAGCCGAGTAGACTTCCAATAATTGTCCGAACTAACACGCGCATCTCCAGGCGTCACCCTGTTGTGACGGTGACTGCGCCTTAATTATGCTGTCCGCGCCTTCTCTCTCGGAAGCCTCGAACAGGCTGGCCTGTAATAACAATTTCATTAAATTTTTAATTACAAAAGCATCCCGATAATGCACATTGTTTTTGGTGCCAATCTATTTGATGTGATAATTTTACATGATTCGGCGAATCGCTTGAAATCGATTTTTAAAAATTACCCGGCGTCCCCGCTGCTCCCGTATCCTTCTGGCTAGAGTAAGGAAAGCTTCCTCGATGTTGATATTCTCCTTGCACGATACCTCGAAAAAGGGCATGTCGAAGTTCTCGGCTATCTTCTGACCTCGCTCGGCGTCCACAGCGCGATGCGCGGTCGCGTCGCATTTATTCGCTGCCAAAACTTTTACTACGTCTGGTGACGCGTTCTGTCGAAGAAAACGGTGGAATTGTTTGTGATTCATTCTGTCTCTTGATAATTCCATTATCAAGATAACTTAAAATCGATTGCAGACATGTTTCGCAATGAAATCAATAGACGTCTGTGACTTTCATAATTTAACTTTCGATTCCCCACAAGAGCAATTGTGTCACAAATTGTTGCTCATAAACGATAAAACTTCTTAATTTATTGAACGCCAGATTTTAATACGCTTAATTAAATCGCATCATTATAGCTGTTCAATAATCTTTTAATGAAATTTTTTTTAGAAATTCTTTTTTATTTAACATTATTGGATTATTGTGAGTTTACTTCGGCAATCTTTTGGATTCTTGCTTTAGATTCTTTTTTCGAGTTAATCTTTCGCAGCCACTTAAGGATTAATGCGGCACGAACTCATTCCTATTCGTAAGGTTCTATCTTTAGAATCAGTTTTATCTTACTTCTTGGATATTTCGCAGCCAGTAAGACAGATGGTTGAAACTCTCCAAACTAGTAACGTCGTACATCAAAAGGATACCCATGGCACCGCGATAGTACGCCGTTGTTAAAGTTCGAAATCTTTCTTGGCCAGCGGTATCCCTTTAAAAATACATTCCACAGATATACTCTCTATTACTTTATCTTCATTTGACTTGAGAAAAGTAAATTTCTCTTTCAAGAGAAAAAAAAACTTCTTTTTTTTTATTATTAACTTGTAAATATTAATCATGATTGATTTTCTATCGAAAAGTTAGTAATTGTTACTCACCAAATTTGTAATTTAATCGGCGTTCCGTCTAAGTTAATGATCTTCTGTTTGAAGTCGATACCTGCAGAAATACGTGTGTAATTATTTAAATTTTGCGTGAAGCCTTTTGAAATGTTTCGAGACAAATATTGTAATACAATCTAATAGTCTAATATTAGACTAAATAGTCTAATATTGAAATAAAGTGCTTCCAAGAAGATTGCACAAGATTGTAATGTTTGTGAAAGAGAATTATCTAACGTCGCAATTACGTGCCTGTTGCGGCACTTTACACGCAACTAAGTTCCGTGTGCTATATTCGCGTGCATATAATTAAAACTTTATCTGTGTACGAGCGTTGAATTATCTTTCAACAAAGAATAAACGCGAAATTGAATCCGTAAAGTATTTTCACGTAGCAACAATGTATTTTCACAATAATTGTGACGGTATCGGAAAAATGATCGAAACTAGTTTAGTCTTGTTAAATGTAAAATTAAAGCGTTACACGGCGAAAGCCGAGGCTAGGGCGGATGCAACGGCGGATAATCAGCTGATCGATGCTGACTCAACGTACATTTTGTGCAATACACGTCACATATATTATCAATACACCCTCAACAAGTTTGAAAACAATTCGAATAACGTGATTATTACGGTCGAAGTAATCTGTATCAAAAGCGTAACGCAATTTGCGTTGTTGACAGATTAAAAAAAGAACAGAATCAGCTCGATTTTTTTATTATTTCATAATAAGTAAAAAAATGCAACTTTGCATATATATAAATAGAATTAAAAAAGTAAATTAAAGCTTCTCGCGTTCTTTGTGACAATGCACGGGATGTGTGCCGAGGACGAACGTGGCCTCATCGCAGCCAAGGGTTAATTAACGGCTACCTGTGTCGACGGTGCGTCGAACATTCCTTTATACATTCGTCGTTACCCGAAGCGAGATTGCAAATTTACGACTTATTATCTTGGAACAAAGTAACGACCCGTAAATCAATCGCAACTGTCGCGAGGATGCGTCACGGTAATCGCCTAACAACAAGCCACTGAAACGACTCGAGTCACCAGCACGACTCCGAGGTGGTTGCCCGTGAGCCCACAGGTAAGTCCGACCATATCCGGTATATTTGCCAGGTGTATACGCGTCTCTCACCTATCGTCGAGATGTAGGTGTCGTAGTACCGTTCGTCGCAGTAGCGATGCACGATACAGGTCTTGCCGACGTTCGAGTCGCCCAGCACCAGGACCTTATACGTGGCTGCGAAATCCAACGCCATGTTTGCCGTGGGTCTCGGGTGGTTTTGAACTGTTGTTGGGTCGACAACAGAGTCGTCGGCCGGGGGTTGTTCTTCGCGGACGCGCTGCTCCCGGGGGCGGGGGTGGAGGATCGATTCGAGGCCTGCGCTTTAGACCCCCCCGCGCGCGAGCCGGGGGGTTAAAGGTGTTCTCACAATCGTGTGACTTTTCGCCGAGCGACTTTGCGCGACTCATGCGAGGATGATGTGAAAGAGCGCATGGGAGATGCGTGGTACGCATGGTACGCAGATGCGTATGAGATTCTATGTGCGGGCACATTAGGAACAGATGTGAGGGCTTAGACTTGGTAGCACTCCATCGGCGCGCGAAAAGAAGAAAAGTCGAAGATCGACGGTATTATACATGCATGCAACATATAGGAGGACGCGGGAAAACTTTCTCTTCTATTTTTACGTCTCTTTCGAGCATCTCGTCCGAGTCTTCCTCGTGTGTAATAAAACTTTATGCGTCTTGCGGAATAATTCGATCTGGCGAGTGGAAAAGTACGGATAAAGGTCCGGGAATACGCGAAAGAATCTGCAGAATTTATAACGAAGATATTGGAAATGATTAAACGATATTGGAAATTAGGCCGTTTTATTACATTTGCATCATTAAACAAATGACATCATTAAACAAACATTTTTTTTTTTACCGAAATCGTCAATACTTCTTATAAATCATTGTATTTATCTTTTGCTTCATTTTCAATAACAAACTGTGTGAATCAAATTTGTAAACGTACAATGCAATTTACAAGTTAGACCGCGTAATATGCTATTTATTCTACTATCCTAATACTATTTTGTCTTTGCGAAGAGACGGGATACAAATCTCCGTTTTTGTATATGTACTCTACAATTAATATCCTTAGAATTAGCTAAAATGACTTACGTAATTATTTAAGTACTAAAGGTACTGTTCAGTACTTTTCGGAAATAGTTTCGTCATAAAACATACACTACGATAACTCCTACAATAAATTACTAATGTAACAATAAAACTACAATGTAACAATAAAATCAGTTTTGATACTTTGGTTGATGTAAGCTGCTCATTCAATCGTTTCACATTATCTACCAGGATATGTGATGCTGCTACGTAAATAATATCGCTATAAAAGACTTCATACTAATTGTAGAAAATAAACTTCTAATAACCAGATTAGAAGTAAGATCAACATGTTAACACTATACTATTAGAAAACTAGCGCAAATCGATATTATTTTTTACTACAGAGTGAGTTTACTCTTTCCTAAATAAATACTTTTTGAAGTGACTATTCTCGTACTTGTCGTATTCGTTAAAATACGCGAAACTGGTTTTGCTTGCAAATTGCTTATCGTCATAATAATGTAAATAATACAATATATTATGTGTAGGCACTTTAAGCATTATAACTTGTATGAGAAGTAGGACATTCTATTTTTGGTTAGCGCTGTCTGTGAGTTGTAATAATCTTGCCTGTCATGATAACGTCTCGTTTGCATAAACTACATACATGATATGTCCGTAATTAGGTAATATAATACTTAAATTTACTCAGCTATCGACGCTATCATTTATGATTTTTTTCAACAGTCTATAATGTATCCTAAATTACAAATATCATGAAAGTCTTTAAGTCAGTTTTACTTAACGCAGCTTCTTTCGCTTCGAGATCTCGTATAAAGATTCGCTACAGAAACTTAACATTCATCATAAATATATAAGTAAAATATCACATAAATAATATAAAAGTGTAAAAAATGATTTACAAAAATAAAACAATATGCTACAAAATAACAAGAACGGAATAACTTAAAAAAACTTACTACTTAAATTCAATCGAACTTTCGAAACACATCTATCAACGATAGTACGATTACAGGACATATTTGTATAACGTCTTTGTAGACAACTAAATTCTCACTATTTTCCTACAATAAATCTATCAGTATCTAATCGACTTTGGCGTTTATATTAGACCGAGTTTTGCGTCGCGGATTTCCGCATTCAGGAAGAACATAACAGATTAACGAGGGCCATTTTTTTTTTTAGAAAGTATGGAGTTAGAAAAATCGTTGCCTATTGTACGCTCCTCCGAACAGCATTGTCGGATTACAGTAAAAACGACCAAATGCATAATCCGATCACCACAATGCTGGATACATACGCTAAAGAATTAGGAAGATGGATGTTGTAAGCGCTCTCCAACTTAATCAGCCACAATGGAATAGCGACGTGGAGGATGTCCGGAATCATGAAACCCAGATCACGTATGACCTGCAATGTGCGAGTTAAAAAAACAATTATAAAATGTTTCTCTTACATAATTATTCTGCGATTCTCACCTGATGCGCATGGCCTTCGCCCCTAATGACATTCTCGAAGAACTGATCCCACCCACCAGCCATAATATGCAGAAGAGCTATCGCGGCTATGCCGAACGCCTTCCTGTGAGTTATGGGATTCTTTTTGTCCGCCAGATGAACGACCCAGGCGGTGGATATCAACTCAGTGACGGAAAAGAACAGCTGATGGTACCACTGGGAGTAAAAGTCGTCGTTCCAGTAATTAATGTAAACCCACCATGAATAATAGTTGGAGAACAGAGCGGTTGAGAATAGGAGCATCATGGACTGCCTGAGTCTTTGCTTGATCGCCAGTCTCGCCAGATGTTTCATTGTTTCGTAAAATACGATGATTCCAATCACTACGAGCATCCATATTTTCAGCATGTTTGAGGTGGCGTTGAAGTACATGTGTTTGTAAGGTGCAATGCCAGATTCGTATGAGCCTGCAAAGAAGAATTTTGATGACGAAGTCTTTCATTTCCAATGTTACAGCGTGCTCATAGAATGTTTAGAAATTTTTGTTACCTTTAAACACGGTGTCCCAGCACGAACAAGAGCAATACCGTTTGTCCACAATTCTGGAATAATCTTGCCAGAAGTAGTACAAGGTCGCGATCTGCAGCGGCGGAATTGTCAGAGGTCCCAGGATGCCCACCAGTCTCGATCCACTTGTAGCAATGTTTTTGCACATAACACGCTTTAACATCTTGAATAGAGCCATTGCGCTATAGATATAGTAAAAGTGAACAGAAGGCGCTTTAAAAACTTTGTTATTAATTTTATGAATTAAAATGATCTCCCTGATCAAATATATTGCTGCCTTAAGATAAGTAACTGTGTTACGTGTAGCACTGTATATTGGCACTTTGCGATTGATAATACTCAAGGATAATGTAAGGATATTTTAATGACAACGAAAAGCTGAACTATATTACAGATAATTCTATAAATAATTCTAGCTTTCGCTCGGAAAATCTACACCTCATATAAATGATAGCTCTCGTAAATGAAATATGTGTGTATTTTTCCAAATTTTTTTATACAAAATCATAATTTTTTATATGTAAAAAAAGCATCGCAAAATAAGTAAATTCTGTAACGTTAACAAATATATTTCAATTCCCCATATTAACGAGTCTTCAAGCCTCAAAGATCGCGTCGGGTGGTCAAACAAAAACTCAAACGAAACTACTTAACACATGTTTATTTTAACAACACGTTTTGCACAATGCGCATTTTTCGTGCGCCACGCTAAAATTGAGGTGGATGGATAGAATTCTGAATTCCTTGGCTGTTACGTCATGGCAATAAGCGTATTCATTTAGGCGGCAGCGGACTGCACGAGCAGCCGTCGTCGATGCTCCCCGAGGAGGTAATTTCGTCTTCACATGTCCACAAAATCGACGACTTCACGAGCAAACTGGAACAAGTCCTTTGACCAAGAATGGAGGGTCTCGTAAACAACTCCCTGTCACAAGCGACATCTGCGTACGCTAAATGCCTCTCAGAAACTTAGGTATGAATGACTAGAAGTAGTAGAAGCACACGTGGAACGTGCTCCGAACACGACTGCAGGTTCGGAGTTACTCTTACCAGCGCTGTTTATTATCGTTGAATATATTATAGAAATTTTTTATGCAAAGACATCACTGAAATTCTAATTTTAACAATTTTATGACATTTTTTAATCATAAAAATCGGCGAGATACAATTAAATTTTTAATTGCTTTTAAAAATTGCACAAATTTTAATTTTATTGTTATTATTATTTAATGTTACTGTTATTTTTTGCAAACATCTTCCAGGCCCCCGAGGCCCCTTGACAGTCACGAAAATCCACTCAGGACTGTTGATCTTTGGTATTCCATCAGTGGCTACATAAAAATTTTTATATAAACTATTTTATTTTAAATTATAATAAAAGTTTTCAGAAATTTTTATAAATTATTTTAATTTAAATTATAATAAATATTTAAAAAATTATTCTCATTAATTAAAGGTAAGATTTCTTTGGAGCTGAGCACACAAAATACCAATCACTGCTAATATAGCGTTCTACATCACTAAACGTGATCAATGATTTCTGTAAAACGATATATGTATATATTTCAGTATTATTATTTTCAATCCTAAACAATTTCTGCTATTTATTCGTAAATTATAAAAAAATTGTGTAATAAAAAATTGTTGTGTGAATGTTGTTGCAGTCTATCAGACAGCTCACTTCCATTTATTTTAACCTGAATTTTAGTAAGAGTATTTCTTTTATATTGTTCCCAATAATAATTTATTAGAAAATTTATAAATACGGATCGTAAGAAACGATTATTGTCTTACATTTATTATTCCACATGTATTCATAGTTTAGACACGACAGTTTTTTTTAGATAGTTTTTAATAATTATCTTATTTTTAGCAATTTATAAGATTTAAATAGAAAAATGTCACGGAAGTACAAAACCAAAAGCTTTCGACTGTGTCGATGTTGCTACAAGTGGCGTTGTCAGTGTCTTATACCACGAAGAAGGAAGCCTCATCCGCCGTTTAACAGCGGAACAAAGTTAGACAGTAGACTGGGCTTGCATCCCAAACTAAATGCGCTTACATCGATATCGCCAGCTATTGATTTCTATGATTCACGACCAGTTGATCGCAAATCCGGAGTTATCAAGTAAAAATCGAACTTGATTTATTCTGAAATAGTATAAGAATTTTTAACAAAAAAAAAAAATTGACGTAGTTGGAAAAGACAACAAGAAACGGAAGAGTTTGCCGCCACAGTGGGCCACAAACTGACAAAAAAAATCATATTCCAGAAGGACTTAATGAAGACCGGACGTGGTCCTGGAGCTCACGAGATATCTCGCTGGCCAGATAGCATTTTAAAGGCACCCTGTAAGAGTTTGCGAACGGACGTCAGCTTCGGAACTGTTCCGCAGTTTAAACCGAGCTACAAGTCCACCACGCCTGGTCCAGGTTCATAAATAAAATTATTCTTCATCTATCAAAGAAACGATCAAATTATTCTAACGCAGAATTAATCGGTTTTCTTTAATATACTGTATTTTTATATTTTGTTGTATTAAAATAAAATTTTCTTTAAGTTTTAACTAGCAATTGTCTCGTCGATACTTTCTTATTTTTTTCTTAGTGTTTTGCACTCTATTCCTTATTTCTTTTTTTTTAAGGATACACGCTTAAAACGCATAATCCGTATTACTACTTGGATGAGAAGAAGCTGAAAGGTTTCTCTCACGTACCTTCCTTCGAGTTTGACGGATTAGCGCATAGATTTCAAGAAGTTAAAAGAAATTGGTCTCTACCGTGTACCAGGTAAGAAAAGGTGTAAAATATAATATCATTAAAAGTATTTTATGCTTTTTTTATGCTTTGTTTGTAATCTTACAAACAGATTACAAAAGAATCGGTTTTCACATTTCAGATACAGCGTGAAGTATCCGAATTCATTGCAAGTTTTTCTTGAAAAAGTCACAGGCAAGAGAGGACCTTACGATCTTTTTACAGGTGACAGAATAATTTCTTTTGTTAACTATGCGGACTATTTTATGAGTTTGTACACTTTTTTTCGCCAACTACGCCGTATTTGCAGCTTATTGAAATTTGTCTATATATTTTTTTAAACCAGATTACAAAACAAAAAGCTCATATAAAATTTTAATTGTAGAATCTATAAACATTAAATTAATTTAGGACCGAGAGACGAGAGTACAATGAAGGGATACTGGTCGCGTAAGAAAATAGATGATTACAATGACTGGCCACGAAAATTACCCGGTGAAATAGAAAAACTTCTGAGCAAGTCTAATTATTTCAAAGGAAAATGGTCCACTAATCTTAGGTAGGAGGGATAAATTAGCGGGAGAAATAAAAACGCATTTTGATTACAATTTATATCTATAATTTAATGCGAATAATGCAAAAACTATTTTGAGTAGAAAAATATTCCCCTAAAGGTTCACGAAGAAACCGGTTACAAGAATGTTGTTACAAGATATCAGCACGTGTTACAAAGATCCCGATGAACCGGGTCCTGGTGATTACAATCCTCGAACGCCGCAAAAACCCGGCTCGATCAAAAGATATCCTTTTGACAGCAATGTAGCACGACTGCTTCCGTCGCGCGACATTCCTCCTGAACTAGGTAGATATAAAATCAAAGAAAATTATCGTATAAAAGGACACGGATGGACGTGTGTTTTCAAGAGTAAGGTGCCCAGAACGTTTGGCGCTGTTATTCCGCCGCCGTATAGTGACTTTTAATTTCTAGAAGATATTTCTAGAATATATTTCTCAATATATAATATATAATAATAAAAAAATTATTACGAACGAATTCTTGATAAGTAAAAAAAAATTGCTAAATTGACATTTAATTGCATATGCAATTGAATAATTGGAATTAAAATGTATGTACATCGATATAAAATTTTGCACGCTTCGACTTTCGGCTACAAGTATAAATTCCATCATATCAAGAGCTGCTTCAATGTAGAATCTACGCTATCACGTAATAACACCTGTCGGCGCGAGATCAACGATTGCTCTACGCTAATTTAAAGATCCAACGATCTTTGTGATTTATCGTGTGAATTAGCTCGAACGTGCGGCGTGCCGATTCGTCGTTTTTCCTTCGACGGTGTTCCTCGGTTCGAGAGGCGCGAGATTTCGTGCCAGCTGGAAAATGGTAACAGGAGCCCCTCGAGATAATGATGCACCTAACGATTACTCGGCTGCACCGAATGCATAATTCATATGTATGCCACGAACTTTGAACCGGCTTCGCGAGCGCATAATTGCATTTAACCGTCTTCCAGCGACCGCCCCTTTCATTTAAGCCCTTACCACACACGTCATTCGTTTGTTGTGGAACGCCCTAAGCTCCAGGCTTTAATTACCGGAATAATAAAAAGCAAAATTTATCAGATTGTATGATCGTCGCGCTGGCGACGGCAAAAAAATCGCTGTATATTTACTTACAACAGCGACTGTCGCGCTTATGCAACTTGAATCAGTGCAGCGTGAAAATCAATGTATTGCAAAAATATTTAAAAAATATTAGAAAATGATATTTTTACATGTTTAGGGAAGGTACATACATAAATAAAAAATACTGTATTCATGCGATCATTTCTGTACTCATACGCTCAACACTGGAACGCATAATTTTTAATAAATTATATGTTGATATAAAAAATAGGTGATTTTTAGAGGAAAAAAATACCGTTTAAAAATATAGAACAGTAAATACATAGTAAAGAAACTTTTTTTTTCCTCTAAATTATAACGATTTATTTGCGTAAAGATATTCATGCAAGAATTACAAAGGCTCCAAATACGTATATTTAACTACAGAACCGGAAATGTCTCGCGCGCGCGTGTATAAAAGAAAAAAAGAGAAAAATTTCTCGCGGCGTGCCATATGGCGGATAATTTCGTAGATTGATGGAAGATTTCACGGCGCAACTGACACCCAGTATACGCGTTCCCATATAGCCTGCCATGTAATGCGGCTGCCGTGTGGGACGCTCGCATTATTTACAAGGGCAAATTAATCGAGACGCAATTAGGCGTTAATAACTTTCTAATTTACGGCGGACGCCGACGCGTCTCTCGCAAGATCAATCTATGCCGCCTGAGTTTGTTCACCCGTAATCTTGCAAATGATAAACCGCAGACGATGATAATCTCTCAAGTATAAACGACATTTCTCAATCTGGGAAGAACAGTAATTAACAATAAGCTTCCTTTTTATAAGCTCCTTTTTATTTCATCAATTAACTTAATTTTATTTCTTAATCTTCGTATTTCTTCTGCTGTATCTCAACTTTCTGATCTCTTTTCTTTCCAAACTATATAATCTATCGATAGTTTTGAATAATAAAAAAAGGTCTTCCGTTCTTTGTTGCACTTCCACATTTTAGAAACGTTATAATTCCATCTTGCGAGTGATTCACAAATAAAATTCTTTTACGGGACGTCCCAACAATGGGAACGACCCCATTATTTGTCATCAGTTCTAAACACTAGCAGCTACGTAACATCTTATTTTCTTGCTCTCGCACAGTGTCGCGTGGCGATCTGTTCGCTCCATTTTTTTGTCATTATATTTTCACTGAACAAACCCACTTCATAAATCATAGCGACAAAGAATGAATGCATTCGCACAATAGCATTTCAACTTTTACTCGCCACCGTTTGCTTTAGAAAAAGCTTTGCCTGATCGTATCTGGATAATCCCATGTCGTCATTCTTGGTCTTCCTTTAAGTTCTTTCTCATCCTTGACTCTTTTATCCTCAGGGGTTTCTTCAGGATGCAAGAAGGCACGCGCCTATTTAATATTTATTCACTTATCCCGCTAGTCCCTTAATATTTCTGGAAAGTGTATCACGGTCACGAGAATGCAATCTTTTCTTCTTCAGATACCTTCTTTCACAATAGTGAAAAATGCTCCCCTGCAAAGATTTTGGGCTGAAATAATGTCGCCATATGTATCACCGTCAAATAGTAAACTGCTATTGATACTCTACGAGTTAGCACATAAGTTTTTTCGGACCGGATGTTCAACATAGTTTGCCTAGTAACCCAAATTCTTGAAGACTGTCAGTGACCTTACCACAAAAGAAGTAAGTAGATCAGTGATCCTATTATCGTAATAACGATGAAAAGACGTGTAACCTTCCAAATACACTTAAGTGGAGATAATCGATGAAAAAGAAAGAAACGGATCTGACTTTGTAGCAATTCAAATTAAAATTTACGAAATTTACGGGCAAAGAAAAAAGGCGACGGAAAAAAAGCGACTTCAGATCTACCCAAAAATATTGCTAGAGTGAAATGGAAACTCGATCGAACGGAAGCGACGGTCACGCATTACGCACAGTTGATTATCGATGCACACGTGCCTTTTGTGAAAAAATTCCGTCCCATCGGGCCTTCCCCGCGTTCAGGATCCCGCAGCCGAGAAGACCGTCATGAAGGGAGGAGGTGTGATATGTTACAGCTGGTTAAACAGCTGCGGGGTAGAAGGATAACAGTGAACGCGACAAATTTCGGCAACAACCACCTAAAAGATCGTGTATGAAATTGGAGGAGGCTTTGCCTTCTTTTCTTCCTCCCCGAAGCTTTGCTTTGAATTTATTTCTAGATGTTTGCGTGATAAAATCGCGGTTATAAAGACTTAAAGATTACAATTTATTAATATGAGATACGTAAATCTCTTAATTTTCTCTGTTATGTATTTTTTTAAATTTTGTTTTTCAACATATACGCAATTGTACGTAATTTGACGAATTTTCTTGTAACTATATTGAGAAAGATTATTTCGATCTTTCAATCATTAAATTTTTTTTACATCCGGTTTGGGAAAAGAATTTTGCTCCTTTAAAGTTTAGGCTGGGGCGTCTACATTCTTCGATAATTCTCAAGATACCTGGTAAAGTAAAGTTTTCGTGGGACAATGGTAACAATAGTGAGTCAGGAGTATCAGTAGCAGGTTTCGTAAATAGACCTGAGATGGGTTCGTTTGTCACAAAGTCTTTCGTGTAAATTTTACAGGGTGCATAGAAAAGTACAATGCCAGCATTTTTCGTAAAAATTCTCATTTTTATAGTATCTTGTGACTGACAAATAAAACTTTTTTTACAAACTATTAAATTGAATTGCGAGATTGTGAGATAAAAATCACATAATAATACATACACAGGACTCTAAAAAAATATAAAGTTAAATTAAACGCAAGTAGAAAAATTTTAGACAATCCTCAATAAACAAAATAGATGTCATGTGAAATTACGTCATGTTGTCACGTCGCATTAAATTCAAGAGTGATTCGATGGCAAAATCGAGACAACGAGTAGGTGTAATTTCGAATGGAAGTAGTTATAAAACGTGTTCTTTTCATTTGTACACTTTGAGGCGCCTCAACGACCCACGATAAAATATTAATATTAAATTAAATTCGCGAATAACATACTTATGTCGGATCGACACATACGACAGCTTATTGGTCAATTTTACGATTGACGATTCTAATTTTTATTATTATGATATCGATCATATAGCTCTCGGATTAACAACGATTTAGTCGCTGTTGTATTTAACACTTCGACTCAGACAATCAAGAGATTATGATAACGCCGTTAAATGTATTGTGAGGACGATGAATTGCAAGCATTACTCGATGAAAATTCGTACCCAAAACGCAAAAAAGAGCTTGCATTACAACTGGGAGTAAAGCAACAAACCGTTTCTAACCGTTTACAGAAGATGGGAAAGATTCAGAAAGAGGGAAAGTGGGTACCATACGAATTGAGCCAGAAGAACAAAGATAATCGTGTCGAAATGTGTCTGAATCTGTACAACAAACAGCACAGAAAGTCTTTCCTGTGGAAAATCATAACGGGTGATGAAAAGTGGATATATTACGATAATCCTAAGCGAAAAAAATCATGGGTAGACCCCGGCCAACCATCCACATCAACGCCAAAGCGGAATATCCACGACCAAAAGGTAATGCTCTGTATATGGTGGGATATGCAGGGTGTGCTATATTATGAGCTTCTGCAACCACGTGAAATGGTTGATGGTGATCGCTATAGTCGACAACTATTGAGATTGAACGAAGAAATCCGTCGAAAACGTCCATATACTGGCAAAGGATTGCGTCCGGTGAAATTGCTTCATGACAACGCTAGGTCTCATGTCGCTAAAACGGTCAAAGAAACATTATTGACGCTTGGTTGGGATGTTGTACCGCACCCGGCCTATTCGCCAGATATAGCGCCAAGTGATTATCACTTGTTCCGGTCGATGCAAAACGCATTGTCTGAGGTACGCTTCCGGAATATTGAAGAAGTGCGAAAATGGGTTGATGACTTTATTAAATCAAAAGACGAAACTTTCTTCACTGCCGGAATTCGTAAGCTGCCCGAAAGATGGCGCAAGATCATAGATAATAACGGAGAATATTTTGATACTTAAATGTATTATTGAGTTTCTGTAAAAAAATCTTGAATTTTCAAAAAAAAAAGGTTTAAACTTATTTGTGCCCCTAATATATATAGCATATAATCAAGTAATAATCTAGAATCTCATATTTCTTTTAATAAGAAAAGGGAAGTAATCTGCTTCACATCTTAGAACATAGCTCTGTTAGAAATCAATATAATAATAATAAAAAGATGATTAATTACGCTAGTTTTAAGCAGTTATTTTCGCGCTCGTGATCCGAGTAGATAATTTCGCGCGTAAATTACTACGTACAATAGTCGCAAAGGTGGATCATTATTCGAATAACGGTACAACGAGAGGTGATACCCATCCGCTCATCTATCCCGAAAGAAATCGCCGGGAAAAAATTTGTTGAGTCAGTGCTTCGAAAACGATGGGGCGAAGTTTGAAAGATGCCGCAACACCGGTAGCCGTGCTATTATATCCACCTATACATGCGCGTGCATTGTAAATTCTTGAAGGATCGCGTGACATCAAATCTATTCTACAACATCTACACGGTTAAGTGTCGCCATTACGATGCTAAAGAGAGTTGTAATATATACCGCAGAAACGCTAGATTGCCAAAGATTTAAAATGTAATTTTACGTAAGATTTATTGGTACAATGACTCCTGTAAAGACTGCGAATTTCTTGTCCTGAAAAGCGTGGAACTAAACAAAAGATTTGACGATTAGCTCATCAATTTTAAAAAAGACACTCTATGTTCTTTAAAAAGACTGATAGATTGAAAGATTTATTTTTCTTGTTACTTTTTTAATATTTCTCTTTGCATTTCTACAATTTCTACGGACTGTAAAATTGGTTTTACTATTTTAAAATTGATTAATTTTACTGTGAGCTTTAGTTTTCCATGCAATTAATCAAATAAATGTAAAGTATGAGATTTAACAAACTGTAAGTATTTTATAACATTTGCATTATGCAATTCTTTCAAAAAAATATGTAGGTATGTAGAATCTCTTTCTGAATGATTAACTATTAAGCAGAGTTTCACGTGAAGTCACTGCTACGTATTGCGACTAACAATTACTTTGCCAATGTGATTTACCGGCCCGATAAACGCGACGTTTAGACAGCGTCGCCGTATGACATGTGCGCGACGTACGGAAAATTTTAAGATTTACGACTATTACGTGCACACAATATCGCCGCTGCAAAGCTCGCGCCGCTTCTCATGAGCTTGCTTAGTGAGATTTCCTTTTATTCTTCCCTTTGCCTTGAGCTGCCGTCGTTTCAAAAGCGGCGCTTTGTGGGGACGAAAAAAATTAGAAACAAGGAAGTTGTATTTTGTACCAGGTGGAAGGACCCTTTGAGGATACCGCCGATCGCGCCATATTTCAATTCGAATTTAGCAAACATCGTTCTCTCCACCTTTGATTGCGTTTATACAAAAGAGCAATCGGCTGTAAAATAACAAGCAACGTGGGTTTATCGTTCATTTCATACGGCGTTGGTTTTATGATGATGTGAGCTTTGGAACAATCACGGAATAAAAGTTTTCATCAAGAAATGAACATAAAACGAAATTAAAAATATCAGGAGATTGATTAGGAAATTTGCTATTTTAAAAGGAAAAAAAATTTTTTAATTAATAAGATTTCGTATAATATTGAAATGCGACTTCTTTTGCATTTTGGTTGATTTGCAGCTTGGTTTCTCTCTGTGAGATTGTCGTTACATATTAATTTAATTCTCTATAGCTATGCTTTCTATATTTTATTACAATCTTTTACTTTATTTTTACTTGTGTAATTTTTGTTAAGCGCAAAAGATGTAAGAAAGTACGATTGGAAAGAATAAACTTGTTGCTAGATGACGAGTGAATTTCTCTCTTATGTTACATAAATGAATAGTTGACTTCTCGTGTTGTAACAAGTTAATCTTTCACCGCATTAAAAGAAAGGAAAGTCTGCCATACTAACACAAAAATAGATTGCAATAGATGAAGTGTAATTTTCGAAGACAAAATAATATTATATATTTCCGGCATGCAATTTTGATCACACCAGGACTCTCAACTCTCTTGCTACAATCCGACAATCTATAATCCTAGTTGACCAACAGTTACTCTCACGGTCTCCTCACTTCAAAATGGCGCCGTTCAAGTCGACAAAACTTTCTCGAGAGGAATCGCTATTGACGAATGGTCCGGAAGAAGCGCAAAGATCAGTGAGGCGGAGATCTTCGATAAGAGGTGTCCGGGCCGCCAAGATGACGCGGCGGGAAAAAAAGAACGAATGGGGAGAAAGGATTGGTCTTCATCCTCGACGAGTCTCTCCGTGATACCGAGCGGACGAGAGGAACTGAAACACCCACGTCTCGCGGTGTTCATCGTCCTGCTTCGCGCGGTCCGACGTAGTGGGGCTTGTCAGCCCGCCTTCAGTCACGCCCAGGCTGCATTGCACACGGCTGTTGCACACCTGCCGATGGTGGGGTACGAGTCGGTTGTATCGGCGATTGCAGGATGAAGGAAAGAAAGGCGAGCAAGGACGAAATTGCCTGCAGCAATCGCATCCGAATAATTGCCGGGATGCATACGGCGCGCCGCAAAAAGCTGACGATTGCGATATTCCGCGCGCTGTTAACATTTCGTATCATAATAGCGCCGCTATATCACCAACTGTACGTTATGTGTTTGAAGTCGTATTATGAAGAGTTAAAAATTATAGTCGTATTAACTCGACGCTGTATTTTGGAACTCGATAATTGAAAACCTCGGGTTAAACATTGTAATCGCTATTCTAATTAAAATTTGTGAACGATGTAATGGCGCATTTTCAAGCTAGAACAAATAAGTTAAGATTTAAATTGATATTTAAATCAGTGTTGATGTATGCTAATTTTATAGATAAAAATTTAATTTAACAGGACAGAGATAATTCTTGTGCTAAAACCTCGAAGTTAGCCTGAAAGAAGATAATATCAAAGGTTGACTTTGAAACAGCTTTATTGAGCCAGGTTGTGCCAGGTGCCATTCAGAGATACGCTTTAAAATGTCGTTTTATCTTAAAGCGACTAACAATGATGAGTACCTATAAATAAGAGTGATTTAGATGGGCCCCTGCAGTATAACTATTATTTTGTATATATAGTTGGCTTTGTTAGGCCGACTTTTTTATTGACTCAGTTTTCCTTCAAATAGTTTTCTTTCAACACTATAAATAGAATAAAATGTTTCAGGTTACTTCATAAAATTTTACACCACAGAATTTATGAATGAGAGCTGCTCATAAATTTATTTTAAACAAAACTTTACTGCTTTAACATTTATAGTGTGTGCAAACAATTTTACTTTCGGAAAATTTTTTATTTGTCTTTTGCTTTGATTTCGGAAAATAATTAGAAGATTTAATTTTGAAAATATCGTACGATGTTGTTTATTTCTGAAAAGAACAAATTTTAAATTTATGAATTTTGATAATAAACAACTCTGTTAATAAGTTTTGAATTAATTATCGGCAAAAGCTATTTATTGCAAATGTCAAATTCAAGAAAAATACGGAAGTACATATATATAAATATTTTGGCAACGATTTGATGGATAAAATCCGTTTAAGAGACACTTTGCTACGGAATTTCATGCAATACGCGTTTGCAGATTTGTGTGTTACGATATTTTACGTAATACAAAGTTCTACAAATGATACGGATGAGGTATTTTAATAGTCGACACGAGTAGCTTAACTGTCGCGTTCGGTTCATAAAATTTCGCTTTGACTTCGTTGCGGCGCCGCGATGATGGAGAATACATTTAGATACGCTAACCAATTATAGCGCCGTCTTCCATCCTTCGTATTTTCTTGTTATACCTACTTCAGCTGAAATAGCGTTTCTCTTACGCATCTCTTCGAAGAACTTGAATTAGCGAGACTTCCGTTAAGCCAAAATTCAGCCGAAGTGCAGAGTGCCAAGTACAAAAATCAGGTTGCTGACAAATATTTCGTTGCCGACGAATATTAGGTTGCTAAAACATTTTTACGACACACTGTAAATACATTTCCAAGACATCATTGAATTCCAACGAGTTGTCCGGATAAGGGTTAAAGGTCAACGGTGCGAAGAAGGGCGTCGTCATAAATATTTTCGAGTTCAAGTTGCGGTTGACCACGACGGAGTGCCGGTAATGTTCACTGACGGGTAAGGGTCGGGGCTTCGTGTAAGCGCTCGCAATTAGGCGGGTAGGAAGTCGCCACGGCGAGATAGGCGAGTCGAACGCGCGTTACCACGGATACATTCCGTACAGAAAGCGTATCTCATTAATTGCCTCTAATAATAGGTGGGCCCGCGCGGCCTCACCGACACGTGGTTCGCTTATTTACAGTCACGGACGAGCGTTTACACACCTGACGGCATCCGTGAAAATGCCGTGTAACATCCACTTCGCGCCACCGAAAATCCGCGCATTGAGACGTTTCCGGCGGAATCTAGGCTTGACCGATGCGATAGCAGAAAGTAAAATGGAATATTATTTAATGTGTGGATTAAATGGCTTTCAAGGCCAATGCTCGGTTTTAATAAACACTATTCTGCATTTTATATTATTTATTCATTGAAACAAACGTTTCGGTCATTGTTGTAATCTTTTTCGATCTACAATATAATTTTGTTCTATCGTGGTCTATTTTCTTTCTTTCTTAGTAATTATTACCTTTTATTTTAAATGTACATTAGATATCATAATACATAATTATTTGATATGATTTATTTGTAAATCAGTGGTTAAAATGTTTGTGAAATATCATTATTTGTCAAAATTTGTAATTGAAATAGATCACTTAGATATTTACAAATTTAATATTATTTTGATTTTTACACATTGTTGTTTAATTATATTTCACTTTTAACTTATTTATCTTTTCGTCTCGAGACATTTAATCGATTGTGTAACACTGTTATTAAAACTGATGAATTGTAATATTTTATTTATTTTTCGGTAT